TTAATTAAAAGATACCATTTTTTCTTCCACACAGTTCTTAAGGGCTGGCTATACAACATGCATAGTTGAAACCGGCTTTGATTTTTTTTTTTAATGTTTTCTTTGTTTGTTTGTATCATCTTACCGTTAAAACAAATAAGAGTTTGCAAAATAAAAGTGTTTTTCATTCATTGCATCAAATTTGTTGACAAATCCCTAAAATTAAGCAAAGAAGTGACTAAATAAAATGCAAGGGACTGAATATGTGTACTTGAACACTGCAGGAGAGGTGAGGCTGGTGCAAGATGAAGATAGCGGGATTCATTTCTCATATTACTCAAAGCATTTAAAACAGCATTGAGATGTTAGGGCTAATACATACGTGTAGAGTGTTGTAAACATATCAATCACAATCTGCTTAAGGTACTTCCTAACTCTTTCAATGAAACTTTTAGTTTCATACCGGTATATTCAGTTTCTGAGAGTGTCCAAAGTCCAACTTGATTCATTCAAATCAAATGCAGAGAAAATGTAAAATCCATGAACCTGGCTTGAATCTGCACACTAATCCTTTACTTTTATGCCTCATATTCTGTGGGTGGCATATCATTATTGGGGAGCGGGAAGTGAATCGGAGCTGCACAAATCAAGGCAGTCGAGCTTGGTGACTATAGTCATCATCCATTTCATTGATTAAAAAAGAGGCAGAACAAGAATTAACATTCAACATGAAAGGTTTACTCACTGTATAATCCAAGGATTCATTTACACTGCACAATGTACACTGCAAATACAAGTACATGTGATTGTGATGTTCGTGTAAGGCTTCAGGTATATAAAGTAGATATATGGTTTCAAACAGAAAATTTGTTTAAAAAAATAATATTCAGTGGCTCATATGCTTTTCACACTTCAAACAGAAAACAGCCATTAATTTCTAACCCTAGTATAACTTTCATCTATTGTGATTTACTATATTGAACAGTTTGTTCATTACACAATAATATCCTGGAATACCACATTATTTGGAGTATTATTTATGTTTCATACATATTTTGTAAGAGACAAAAGTCAGCCACAGCCGTCCATAGTTTGCGCCATTCGTCAATAAAAGCAGACAAAGGGTTAAAAATTAGAACGCAAGTTGGCAATGGCATGATATGTACATGTAATTGTTGTGATGTCAGGTAAATCTCTGGAAATCTTCAAGGCTGCATTAATACAGTAAACCATGCTTTAATGACCACCTTTATAGAAGACCACCTTGAGCAAAGTTTCACATTGAAACCTACATGTACATGTAGATATTAAAGGAACCTGTACATAAAGATCATTTTCTTGCTTCCCTTGAGCGGTCTTTATTTACAGGTTTCACTGTACATGTAACTACTGTTGTAGAGAAATGCATGAAACTTGAATTTTCAAAATGGTCTAAGGGCTACCAGTTACTGTATAAACACTAGAGAGCACTAGTATCATACCATCCAAAAAAGGAGTCCAAACAAACAGTGGGTCTGTTTGCTAATTGGTGAAATGTTTGACTACATCTCCTTCATGAACAAAATAGAGCAAACAAAACAACCAGGGGATCTATTCAATTAATAGTGGCTTTATGTGTATGTTTAGTTCATAGCATGTCCAGAAAGTAAACACACACGGTTCTTGAAACTCCTGCGTAGTGAACAAAGTATTACAACAGAAGGAGCAATATTTTTAAAAATGAAGAAAAACACGGTCAAAGTCTTCCCTAGCAACCAGACAACTGGAGAGTAATCAATGTAACTTCTGTATTGCACAATGATTACAAGTACATTTAATATCCATGAACATGGATCCATGTTAAAGTACAGGTACTCAAAATGATAGAAGGTGAAAGATTCTAAAAGACACAACTTTGTCTAGAAAAATCTCTGACATGTGTTTTGGCAACAATTGTTTGATTGTAAAAGAAACACTTACCCTAAACCATTAGAACCTAAAACCCAATTCAATTTGATTTGGGAAAAAGTCCAATTGCGAACTGAACCTCGTCACAAAATAAATAAATCCAGTAGAGCAAATATCACTGATGTCAAGCCCAAAATTATTTGTCTGATTTATTATCTCTTATATCACATCCATATTCATATGTAACTTAATTAATGACATGTACAAGCTGCTTCTAAAGAAACCTCACACAAAAACAAAGTAACTCTTGGAGAATGCACTTTCAGTTGTGCTGCTCCCAAGCTTTGGAATAACCTAACATTTCCATGATCAGTGAAAGTGCTTTTGACTTGGAACATGAATAAAACATAGACCACATGACTGATTGATGGCAGCTTACAGCCGTTCCGTCATTATCGAAACAGATTCACACTTTACATTCCTGATTCCTCTTTTTGTTAGAGATGAGAATATAATGTGACCTTTTTAGTATCCAAAAGTAAATCGGTATTGGAATCAATATCACTTTCAATGTGCAAGACACTTTGATCATTTATGCCTCGTTAGACATACAGTTAAAGATGAAGTTGAGTTCTGGTCATGCGATTGCATTGTGAAAGAAACGGTGTGGAATCGACCAGAAAAGGTTGATCATCTAGCATATAAGACTTTGTGTGTATTGCAAGGTTCTGGAATCATCAAAATGATAAGAAATTTGGCCAAGTCTTGGTAAAGTTACAAACACTGTACACAGAAAGATGTATATGGGACTACACGAACAAGTGGCGTAAAAATCCTACCCTAGATTTTTACGTTACATGACATATTTAGAATATGAAGGCATTTGAAGAGCCATGCTTTTCAGGAAACATGTCTTATCTGATGTTCTTCCACACTTGCATAATAAGAATGATAACGCTCACAAATAATTTTTCACCTCTTCCCAGAACTCAACCTTCTCTTTAATAACTATACATGCAGTACTTATTAGCACTAAAGCTGTTCATGCAGTTTCATATATTTTGTATTAACTTGACACGAATTATCATCCTACTTACTACTACTCAGGCTGCAGCTATACTGTAGTTGTTGCCTCGAAGGTGAAATATCTGACTTCTCACTTTTCATGAAATCTTAAGTTTCTGACGGTGATAATTATGTACATGTATCTACATGTAGCTAGTCTTTTTATTTTTATTATTTTCAATTTTATTTCTCTCCCACCCTGCACTCCTAGGATGATAGTTTGTCTGAACTTTTCAACAAAATAAGATGTTTAAAACCTGGCACCATTAGATGAACAGATGAATTACCTTGTTTACAAGTTCCTTTGGAATAAATGAGTAATTATAAAAATATTGAAGAAAAAGAAAAGTTTTTGTCAGTTTGGACTTACATACATGTAGCTTGCAGTCATTCCCCCAAAGAATAAATTTGCCAACAAAGGTCTGGATTGTTTTTTTTAGAAAGTAGAAGATACTGTACCCTCAATTTGGACCTAATACATGTACACTTACATTGTACATGTGTATAAAAACATCTGAAGGCTCTCTGTTGTAAATTTGAATTAAATTATCTGTAATCCCATGTCCTAGAAGTTTGAATGGCTTGAGATTGAGACATAATACTAGTTCTAGACTAGTTTTTTTCAATCAACATGTGCCGTGATTCAACATTGAATCTCAATAGCATAATTGATTTTCAATCATGATTTTTCCGTGTATGTATTTGGGTTTTAACAAATTATGCATATCAATTTAAAAATTGATAATCTACATCTGGGAACGACCTTTAAAGGGGTTGGGTATCTTTGTCTCAGATTCTAAACAAAATCCTGGATTTAGCTCATGCTGCAATCATTATTCTAAACCTTTAGGTCAGTCAGGAACCCCATGACTTTTACAAGCCGATCACCCATCTGATTATCAAGATTAAGATTAGAATTCAAAATTTCAAAAACCCACTAGTCTATTAATAGGGAAAATGAGTATCTGGTATAGTAAAACCGGTCACTCAAAGATTTTTATTTTCTTGAGGCACTTCATGATCATTTAGAAGCACAATTTTTTTAGGGCTTTAATATTACACCATTTGAAATGGTGTAATATTGAAGCCCTAAAAAAAAAAATTCACAGACACTGATAACACGTAGGGTTTTGCATCTCAGATTTGGCATTATTAAACTTGCTTTTAACGTCATTATCTGTAAGAAACCTTATCTTAGACACGACTCATGTTTCGAAAGTGAGTCCAATTAGAGTACCTTGTAGTACATTTGTAGGTAAAGACAGATGACAGAGTCAGAGAGCTGACTGTACATGTACTACTGACATTTCCACATTTGCAGTCTTTAATTTTAATTTACTCTAGTCCTGATGTAAACTGATCTAAATTATTATGATATGCATGAATCTAAGATATCTGTCAGAAAAGTATACAAATTTACAATCACCATTCCAAAAACTTAAAATCTCAAAATTATAAAAACGAATATCAAATAAACACATGTTAGATCTAGGAATAATTCAATAAAAGACAGCATCTGCATGTATTAATATTCTGAAAAAGTATTTCAAGTTTAATTTGAGGGACAGATGTTCCACTCGTCATAATCTGTTAGACCAAATGACGCGTCGAGTCATCATCACACCAACATTGTTTTTTCATTTATAATAATGACTGCGTGAGGCGAGCAAGTGGTTGCACTGGCTGCCATTGACATTGTGGGTGTATGCAGATATTCCACAAAGTCGTCTCCACAAAGTCACAAACACCAGTGAAAATTTAAAGACTACAAAAATTAGTAAATAACTGTATCTCCTGCTGTCGATTTTCGAGCTCCACAATGCCCCCATACCGCCGGGCAAGTCCAGTGCAATGCCTGGGTAAGCCGTTGCACTTGCAGCGGACTACGTTCATCCGTTCACAATATGCACACACACATCCACACTGCACCCCATTTCGACACACATACGGCGTCATGTTTACCGTTATTTTTCAGTATTCTGCTTATGATAATTATCATACGATGATGTTCCAATACTGAACATCAACAAATAATTGATTTTCATTTCCCCTAGAACGAATAAACTTACCAATTCCTGTGTAATTCAGATCTCCAAAGACATATGATGTGGAAACAGTGCACCGTTGATGCCTTTCATGTTGCTAGTATACACACATTTTTGTCTATTTGCTTTTTCTGCTGATCCGTCATGCATGCATTCTGGCCAGTTTATCCGCTATCCGCGTCAAATTCTATGCCCGGATATTCCGCGGATATGGATTCACCATGTCACACATTAGCTGGCGCTAAACAGATTTTAGATGGTAAGATTGATTAAGTTTTCTCTCTCTCTCTCTCTCTTTCTCAATTTTATTGTTCTTTCAAGTTTTATCCGCCAGGAAATACAAGGCCGCATATCGTATAATGTTACACATTTTATAAAGCGACTTTTCAATAGATAAAAAGTGCATGAATCAATCCATTTGAGAAGGAAATTTTACAACCGGGGTCGAACCTAGCTTGCACCCCTGACATATTCTGTAACTAGGTATTTTATCCACATTTGTCACTCTCGACCCAGGTGTATTCAATTGATACCTGGACATGCTGGGATTATGGTAGTATCAGGGCCTGGGGAAATGCTGGAAGGGCAGAATTAATACCCAGGAGTTTGACCTACCTAGATCGCATACTAAAGAAAATACAACTGAAAAATAAATGTAAATATATAAATAAATGTAAATAAATGAATGAAGATTGAGATCTTTGGAATCATATGTGATATTAGGATTCTAAGTATTTTCCCCTATACTCTTCTATTTATCAACATTAATTGAGGTTATTTGTTTTAGCTACAGCAATGACAATGCTGAAGGATGACAGAGAAATTTTTCTCATGTATTCCATTATATTGCATTTCTTTTCTCCTGTTTATATCTGTTAACATTTATATTGTATTATCATCATAACAAGTTAACTTTAAAATAGTGCATAACATATTTCCATCAAAACATAATTTATGCAGATGGCGTATAATGGAAAATGACCAGTGCGATATATGTAAAGAAACATAAGATACTTTTCATGTCTTGTTAAAAGGAAACATTTGTGATAAACTCCTTGTTAATTTTAGGACAATACATATTATACATAATGTATATTAAACTTCGGTGTGATGGAAAAGAGTACAATAGTAAAAGTCTGTTCATTAATTTCAAATTAAAACTACGATATTACCTAGCAAATGGACAAAGTTTTTTATTGACGGAACACAAAGAAATTTTTCAAGGAATGTTAAGGTTATAACTATTTATTAAATACTTTATCTTTTTTGTATTATGTTAAAATGTAAATTGATGTAAATATATATGAAATATGAAATATGTGAAATAAAACACCTCGGTAAGAGGACAAGAAGAAAAAAATTATCATCATATCCAATTTATGTTGTATCACACGTGTAAACAAAGCAAATTTCCACGTAAGATTTATGTGTAATAAAGTATTTATTTGAATAAATTCTAACTATATAGTGATGATAATGTTTCCGGGAAGGGGATAGAGATATCCATGTTCATGTATGACTGTATAGTAAAGATCTGAAGCAAACTGGTATTTTTTAACCATTTTGAATGAAAAGAATTCCCTTAAGATCATATTCGGGTTACTGTATATGCGTAAATAAATTATCATCAAATAATCGGTAATGACTTAATAGCAGAAAATGATTTTAAAAAATAAAAGTTCGTTATTCCGAACAGTTAAAACACCTAAATTACAAATTGGGTTCCTTATTCCGAAATTTGTAATTCCAAAAATGATGAAGGGTTCGTAATTCTCAAAATCGGAAAGGTATTTGTAATTCCTAAAATAAAATAGGCCTCCTGATTCCGAAAATGTAATTGAGTTCACCTCTTTTATTTTGACATGTGCCCCTTTTTTATTTTCCAATAAGTGCTCCTTCTCCTCGTGATTAGTACCCACATTAGTTAAAATAAGAACCCCTTTCCCCTATTAAAATATGGTAGGGGCCCCTTTTCCTTCGACGAATGCCCTTTTCCTTTGAATTAAGTGTCCATTCTCCATTCTCTTAAGTGCCTATTCTAATTTATGGTAAGTGCTCCTTTTCAGGTACGAGAAGTGCTGTTTTTCAGTTCTGATAATTGCCTCCTTCACCTTCAATAATTGCCCCTTTTCAGATCCGAGAGGTGCTCGTATTATTTGACAAGATCCCCCTTTTCTGTAATAATTGCCCTTTCCCCTTCTAAGAAGTGCTCCTTTTCACCTCTTATATTAAGTGCAACTTTTATTTTGACAAATGCCCCGTTTCCTATCTAATAAATGCCTGTTTTTCTTTTTATTACGAGCCCATTCACCTTTTCATAAATACCCCTTTTCCCCTCTAATGAGTGCCCGTTTTTTACACGTGCACCTTTTCCTGACAACTAATTGCCCTTTTCTTCTGATAAAATTAATGCTCCTTTTCCTTTTTGTTAAGAGCCCCTTGCCCTTCTCACAAATGCCCCCTTTTCACCTCTGATAAATGCCCCTATTAAAATCTGTTTGGTGTCCATGTTCCTTCAACAAATATCCCTTTTTTTATTATTAATAAGTGCCTCTCTTCCATTTTCATAAGTGCCCCTTTTCATCACAGGTTTGTGCCTCTTCACAGGTGCGAGAAGTGCCACTTTTCATCTCTGATAACTGCCCGTTTTACTGTGTCCCACCCCTTTTTTATTATGAGTACCCTTTTCCTTTCTGATAAGTGCCCCTCTTCTTTTTTATAACAGCCCCTTCCCCATTTCATAAATGCTCCTTTTCACATCTGATAATGTTCTATTAAAATCTGATAGGCGCCCCTTTTCCTTCAACAAATTCAATTTCATTTATTTCCACATATTCATAAAAAGACAATATAAATTACAATCAATTATACAGCATTAAAACAAAAGATGAACCAGCACAGAGGGTGATACAAAACTACAGAGGTTTAATCGGGGATCCTCTCCTGCTTAAAACTACAATATTAAAATGCAAGAACTTTTTTTTAAATAATTAAACAATAAAAACATACAATTATATTTTGTTTTATAAGATGATGACGTGGATCCTAATCGAATGATTAGTAAAAGCGTACATGTGACCAGGCATTTATTTTGCCTAACGCGTAATTTGGATAATGACCGGTCATTATCCTAATAATGGTAATGATCGGCCATTATAAAAATCATTTTATTAAAGAAATGTAACATAATCTTATAAAACAAATAATACATATCATTTTGTTCGGGCATTTAGTAAAATTACCCCACACTCGGTATCTTAGAAACAGTGTTAGACTGTTCCAAAGGTTCCTCGCGTGGGTTATACTCACTGATCTCTACGGAAAAAAAATTCCGTAGAGATCAGTGGTAATACTTATTATCTAGCTTGTTGTTGCTATCATAAGCGAGACACAAGTCAGAGGTCCAATATTAGACGCGCGCAAGGCAAGGTACGCCTCAATTTGCGCTTATTTTAAACCATGGGTTATGTAATTGAGGATTTAAACCATGGGTTAGTTTTAAACATCCTTTGTGAATTCGGGCTCTTGAGTTTGATGTGAGGGTGATTGATCAAATAACAAGGATCCAAGTCATAATTTTATAAAACAAATAATACACATCATTTTGTTCGGGCATTATAAAATTTCCCGCCTCGGGTGTGTTAGACTTTTCCAAAGGTACCTTGTGTGGGTAATTCTTACTAATGCCCTCACTGCTGTGTATTATTTGTATACTAATGCCCTTACTGCTGTGTATTATTTGTATATTATAATATATTACCAGCAACTCTATGAGTGGGGTGAGTAGAAATGGGGTTGTGGTACCAATGAATACAATATATAGATGGAATTAGTGTGATAGGGAGATAAAAAAAATAGTGAGAAACACCATACATAAGACATGGATACATAATCAAATAATGTTTCAAATTTGGCTTAAAAAGAATGGAGTTAGGAAGTAGATTCAATAGTGAAGGTCTACTAAAATAAATGTTTCTTTGGAGAAAGTCGTTTTCACAGAGGGCAAATGAAACTTATTTGAGCTTCTTGTTTCATAAGAATGAACTTCAGCATTTGCAATGAACAATCTCATTAAAAATACATGGCAGCTGATTCTTCTTGAAAAGTTTCATATGATATAGAGACTTAAACCCCAAGTCCACTCCATAAATAATTTACTTTCAATAGAAGCAGAAAACTCAGACTAACCAATCAAAAAAAGTCTGAGCAAAATCGGATAACTAATAAGAAAAACTTTGAAAATCACTAGACAAATTGGCAACTCACTCATGAGTCTGTGACGTCATGTCCTCACTATCCACTAATTATTTTCTTTATATTGATGATATAAATTTCCTATTTTCTCCTTAAGAATCCTATTTCTTCACACCAGCATCCAAGTTAGATTAATAGTAATATGTTTTTGTGTGGATGCACTAATAAAGAGTAATTTTTTCCAGTTAAATCATGAAAAATGTGAATTTTGAAAAACTATTTATATAAAAATCAATAATTATGAATATACAATATTCAGAAAATTGTATAAATTCTTCAAAGTTCATAAAACAATTTGTGAAATGTCATGCACGCAATATGATACAAATCATATAACTTGGGCAAAGGCATGGGGAAATCAAGTTTTGGGGAATAAAAAGGGAATTAATGGGATTAAACCATATAGAGCAATTGATTAATAGTGAGGACATGACGGCACAAACTGATAACCATCTCGGCAATTTGTATTGTGATTCTCATTGTTCCATAGTTTTACATACTTTTTCAAAAATTCATAACTTTCTTATTAGTTATCCGATTTTGCTCAAACTTTTTTTGATTAATTTGTCTGATTTTTCTGCTTTTATTGAAAGTAAGTTATTTTTCGAGTGGACTTGTCCTTTAACATTTAAAATATTCAAGCGTTTGTAAAAAGGTGCAGTATGGGCAAGATAATGGAAAGTTTTTCCATTCTAATTTGTGCCTCTTTTCATCTCTGATAATTGTCCTTTTTTACTTTGACAAGCTCTTTTTCTTTTCTAATAAGACCAAACCTCTCTCGCATTGATGGTTAATATAATTATATTACTTAGTAAAGGTCTTTTCAGCCTTTCATTAGATTGTGCTGAAAAACCTATCACAATTTTTGTTTTCCTTTTTGTCATAAGTTGCGTCATTCAACGGCAAAATCACCGTGCACGCTCATAAAGATTAAGCACCTTATACGTTGCTCGAAAAAGTAATAACTTGGCTGCAGAACGATCGGCTTAATTGCCTATTTTCCTTCGACTCCGCCATGCAGGACACATACTCACAGATTATGCCTGCTTGAGTTAAGATTTACTTTGATAGGAAAGATAGGAAGGAGAAGCACATTAAGTGAGAGGCCAAACAACATATGCCTACTCAGGCGTATTTCATAAAAAATACTAAATTGAGAGTTTTATAAGCGTACTAAATAGAGGCGATTGACGCATACTGGTCGACCAAATTATCAAAATATGGTAGCAATGGATGACTGAAAGCGTTTCATGGATGCTATGGATGACGCCTTTTTAGATTTAGTATTGCGATTACAATCATGACTTGACATTCAATGTAGATGAAAAAGACAGTAAGATGTTGCCGACTGTTATTTTATCTCTGATTTTTTTCTCCTTTCTCGCCTGCTTCGGCATCCCTCTCAATGCCGTCACACTCCGCGTCATGGTGAAACGACGTCGCAAAACGAGCACGCAAATCTTCATCATCGTTCTGGCGATGACGGACCTTTTCGTCTGCGTCTCTATGCCGTTGTTATGGTTTATTTTCACCCCGACGAACATGTTTTTGACGGATATTTCCTGCATTACCATCACCTTCGTCTCCATCGTCTCTCTGTTCCAGTCGTTCTTTATCGGCGCAACGATTGCGCTGGATCGTTACTTTCTAATCTGCCGGCCCCATAGCCGATTTATGACGACGCGTCGCGGAATCGCGATCACGGTGGCCTGTTTCCTCATCTCTCTCGTCCTGGCGTTCGTAATGTCTTATTATACCAAGGCTAAGTTGCACGATCACGACGTTTTTCAATGCACTGTTCCAAATGGATATATCGGACTTGCGCTTGAAACAATCATGATCGCCGTAATCGTGGTTTGTGGTGGTCTAATCGTCGTATTGTATTGGAGGGTTTACCGTGCACTACGTCAGCAGCGTCGAATCAGGGTAGAGAATGACTTGAACATTCCATCTAATCATGGACAAAATGGAGAATTTTCGATTACACACAAAGATTCAACGAGAACCGACATCGAAACAGCATCCTTGAAGAACACAGAGACGACTAGAATCAAAACCGCAGTTACTTCACTTTCCAAAAAAGTTGCAACTTCGTTGAAGTCCGAGAACGGCACCGAAATTAGCCGATGTGGCGCACTTGGGTCAAAACGTTATGACGACGTCGAAAACGTGATTCATGAATCCATCTCCACACTCGAGATCGATACCGTCCACGACGTCGACACATCGAGAGCCCGGCTGCCTCCAAATTTACAAGCGGCAACCGATTCACCATCTAAATCTAATGTAGGCATTGTCTTAACACGCCATCAAAACGCCCACATCGGCGATCCGGCTCGACCACCGATTCGCCTCACACCTGCCGATCGCCAGGCGACCAACATGATGCTGGTCATCACTGCAGTATTCGTCATCACGTGGATACCGGCGATCGTGGCCACCATGGTTCCTGCGACGGTATTGGTGGAGATCGCCTCGCGGAATAACCATCTTTATCTTTTCGTCGTTTTTCTCAAGCACACCGTTTACATCAGCAACGCCGTCAACCCTCTCGTATACGGATTCATGAATACTCGATTCAGGAAAGAATGCTTGAACGAGCTAAGTTGCCGCAGGTCTTGTAGGAATCACTAGTCATTTTAGATTAAAAACAATAGCAGGTTATGTTATTTATGTTTTGAAGAGTTGTGCATGGACTAGTATTTTTCACGCGAAGTTTGTTTCACCTCACTAGGGTCAGATGGAATAATAAGTTAATATCGCTGAGCGCGTCACAAAAATATATATAATAATATATATAATAGCTACAAAGTTTTCATTTGAAAGGGGATGTCAGACCGAACTGCCAAACTTCCCTTTGACCATACGAATTTGAATGACGCTTTGACGAAGTCGATTACAAAATTACGACATTGATTCATGCAACGTTGGTAGCCGAGCTAGATGACGAACTTGATTTGACTTAGACGAAATTGGAAGCAAACTGATGAAATTGGTTGGATTGGACAAAGTTCGAAGATGAATGACCAAAGACGAAATAGGCTATGAGATGTTTAAGTTTAGTAAGTTTCGAGACGAAATTGAATGAAAAAAAAGTATGAAATTGAATGAAAAAATTTGACGGGAAACCTATACCTTAGTTTACTGTGATCAGTGTAGCTCTTCAAGAAATTTACACTTTGCTTATAGGCTTATAGCATCACTGCTTTGCGACTGAACAGCAAGTCTTTTTGAGAATGAGTAGTATTTCGTTCGTTTCCATTTTAAGGTCACACTGATTATGACTTGTTATTTATATAAGCCACCAACGTTTGGTAGAGTTTTTTATACGCACAATTAAAAATTTGATTGCATGCAACTCTCCTTTTTATTCCATTCCTTTTTTAGTCGGAAATCAGTCTAAAGAAGCAAGGGGGTTTGCCCCTCCTGACTGATTCCCGACGAAGAAAAAGAAACGTGACCTTATTCAAATATGTTGGTGGTATACGTTCATTACGCAGTTGCATCAATTCATTTGATTTTGAAGATATGTTGCTTTAAATTTGTGAAATGTTCCTTGCTCGCTGTTTTTTTTTATATTTCTTGTTGTGAATCAATAGGGCTTCATGGAGTTTACTGAAAGAAGTGTTGGGTAACTAAAAAGATAACTTGTTGTTGGTTAAAATCTAACCCAATATTAAATGATAGTATTAAAAGAATTGGTTAAAATTTACCGAATGATCTATACATTTTACTCAACAAATATGCATGTTCCCCTTTTACCCAACACGAATGATTTTTCATTTTTATGAACCCTTTTTAGATGTTATATGAAGTCGTCATCAGTAAAAGAAGTAAGGAAAAGAAAGAAAAACAAATGGTAATCCAATGCTTGTAAACCTTTACTACCTGTTGCCGACGATGCGTTATTTTGCTGGCGTAGGGTTGCGCCAATGACAGGTTGACGCTGTCTTTGTCACGCTTTGTAAGAGTGACTTAATTCGTATTCAAATGAACAGTGCAAAGACTGCGTTGAATAGAGCTCATGCGCTAATTTCCTTCATTAGACTTCATTAGCCCAGGGAATCACGCAATTGAAATAACGCCTCGTGTGCAACGGGTATTTCTCTCTCTCTCTCTCTCTCTCCCTCTCTCTCTCTCTCCCTTCCTCTCTTTCCCTCTCTCTCTCTCTCTCTCTCTATCCCTCCACTGCTCCTCTAATAGCTGTCTCACGGGTTCAACGATGTATCTTCCAATTAAAGTGAGAACAATGTACATTGTCGCTCATAATTTGGAATATCTTTGTTTTACTCCAATTTTATGGAATTATTTTCAAAATAATTTAAAAATAATAGATCTAGATAATAGTATACATTCTCAGATTTTATTGAATAATAATTTGCCAATGTGTGTTTTGCGTGACTGCTAAATCATGTGTATGCTACTATGCTTATCAACCAGGGGACCCACGCCCTTAAGTCATAAATGACAGTAATGAGGATTAATGCCCCACAAAAGGGCACTATAGCACATCGACACGGTTTTGATCCTGGGGCCTCACAGTTACGAGGCCATTGCTTTGTCACTGAACCATGACTGTACGCAGCAGGGGCTAGGGTAGGGGGCAGTTTCCATAAATAAAATAAAAAACAGAAAATGAAATAAATTTTCAATAATTTATTGCATTTTACCACGGTCCCCAACATAAAAAAATCCTCTGGGCAGCCATGCATTATGGCTCAATGCATGGGCACACAGAGGATTTTTTTTTTATGTTGGGAACCGGGGTAAAATGCAATAAATTATTGAAAATTTATTGCATTTTCTTTGGGTTTTTTTAATTTATGGAAACTGCCCCTACCCTAGCCCCCGCTGCGTACAGTCATGGTTCAGTGACAAAGCAATGGCCTCGTAATTATGAGGCCCCATGATCAAAACCGTGTCGATGTGCTATATTAGTGCCCTTTTGTAGGGCATTAATCCTCATTGCTGTCATTTATGACTTAAGGGCGTGGGTCCCCTAGGTGATAAGCATAGTAGCATACACATGCTTTAGCAGTCACGCAAAACACACAATGGCAAATAATTATTCAATAAAATCTGAGAATGTATACTATTATCTAGATCTATTATTTTAAAAATATTTTGAAAATGATTCCATAAATTGGGGTAAAAAAAAATATTCCACCGTTATGAGCGAAAGTGTAGGTCATAATTGGCCTTCAAAATTACAGGCTTCAATCGCATTCATTCACTCAACACGCTTTTGGGTTGAAGACAGCGCAGGAAAATATATTTAATATGCAACAAAGTCACTTCCTCTTAATTTCAGCACTCCTGTTTTCCGCTTCAATCTGCAAAACGGTTGCCATATCAACGCTTGGCGTCTGCTCGTCGTGTGAGACATATAACACTTATAACCAAGGATTTCAAACCAATTTCTCATATCGATCCAGTAAATCATTGTCCTTCCTTCAAATTTTGTTCAGCAAAAAGAGCAGAGGTTTGTTTTTCTACTGCCTTTGAACGCACCATAAGCTGGGTAGAAAATTACTTTCATTTATTATTTCAGTGAGATATGGTAGCGAAGATTTTTGAGAGAAATAAGTAAGTCAGGGGTGATTTTATTAACCTATCGTATTTTATACACCTCATAGAAACCATGATCATATTACGTTTTTAGTCGGGGGTTTTAGGCACTGCAATGCTCACATGTGCCTAATTTAATTTTGCCTTGGAAATTTTGAGTCTTTTTGATCGTGTTTTTAATATGAAAATTTACACAATTTGACTCTTTGAGATTGAGTAAGACCATGTCATTTGTTATCATGTGTATTTCGTTTCAATTGTAGATCTGTTTCCTTAGATTTATTGCAAGAATACATTTTATATTGCTTTATGTTCTGCTTTTCAGTGTTTTGATGCCGTATACACCCCCCCCCCGACAAATAATATATTTTCGTTATGTATTGCAAAAGAAATTTTAAAAAATTATGAAATAGCAAAGTCTAGAGAATTGTTCAGATTGTCTTAATGTAGCTGAGCTATTCGCATTACTTATTTCATTTTTTTTTTTTTGGGGGGGGGGGTGGGGTCGCACTAGTCCTTATTGGCATAACTTGACAAAACTACATGAGACAGACTGGGGTTTGTATGACCCCCTCTCCACCAGAAAAATGGGGGGGGGGGTCTAAAATCTCGCAAACACATTTCCGCTGATGGCATAACCATTTTCTTCTCGTAGCATTATGGTATTATTGTGATCGATACTTGCGTTAATTTTACGCCTCTGATAAAATGCAATTAATATCTTTACAAACAATATGAAAACTCATTCGCATTTTCAGATTAAATTATTAAACGAAGTAGGTCATCTCGTTTTGATAAGATCCCTCGTTGAACAAATGAGAAGAGTTAACTTGATATCAATAATATCAATACCAATAAAAAAAAATAACAATAATAATAATAATAATAATGATAATGATAATAATAATTACTATATTAATAGTGATTTTTTTTACCCAGTACCCAGGATAGCCTGTTTTCCCCGAGAACTCACTGAGCTGCGCTGCCCATGACACAAACCAACAACGAAAATTTCAAAGACAAGTTTGACAGAACAAGGTGTTTTTAAATGCGTACTTAAAATGAGAAGTGATGGCATGATGAAAAAAAGATATTCAAGGACGGTGTTTTATTGGGGTTAATTTTGTTATTGCTCATGATAAATTCATGATTTTTCTTCGGGTAAAATATTGTGATGGATAGTCAATAAGTGCTCTTGCTGAGAATAAGACATTATCCCACCTCATTTCCATCGCTTGTATATGATAACCTTCATAACAGTATTGAATAACCGCTGTCAATTAAAACAATTTTTTTTTCCTTAGACTTTATTACGTGAAAGCATAAACAAAATGCTCCTTGGCTTTTGCCAATTCCCTGCCTTTGTAAAGTATTTTCTGTTAAAATCATTAAAAGTATGTGTCTTTGAAAACTGTAGTATAGAAAAATGTTTTATCAATGTGGATTCGAAGCACTGGCGAAGCGTCTACAGTGATACATTTGTACTTACCCCTCCCTCCCCCCCCCCCCCCCCCGAATGAGCAAAGTTGTTACTTTATGAAAGAGACAGACAGAGGGTGATAGAGAGAGAGAGAGAGAGAGAGAGAGAGAGAGAGAGAGAGAGAGAGAGAGAGAGTAGCACAGAGAGAGATGGAGAGACAGACAGACAGCCGGGGACAGCAAAAGAGGGGGAGGGGGAGAGAAAGAGAGGGATAGAAAGAAATATAAAGAAAATAGTGAGAAGCCAAGCCCGCCCCTACTCTCTCCCTCCACAATCCAGTTTTCAGAATCTCCCCTACTCCTTCAAATCACTTTTCACCATCACTGTGTGATAACCTTTTGTTTTTTTCAGAGACCGTGGCTAGAATGGTGTTAATGTCCATTAGGCGCGAATCACCCACCCTCTAAAAGGTGACGAATCTCAAATTAATAAATGGAAGCTACTCTCCGGATAATATTCCCACATCAATTGATCTTTTATAATATCTACAACTTCCAAGGCACGTACGTGTGTTTGACCCTTAGAAATAATCCTCTTAGAAAATGAAACTCCTTCAATCCAAAGTGATATTTATCCATTAAATTTTCATAAGTGACCCAGAAAGATAAAAAATTCTTTACACTTTAAAAAATTCAAGATAATCTCCATAACGCTCCAAGGCACGTACGAGTGTTTGACCCTTGGAATAATCCTCTTAGAAAATGAAAGTCCTTCAATTCAAAGTTCAAACGTGATATTTATCCACTAAATATCCATAAGTGACCAAGAAAGAAAAGAAAATTCTTTACACTGTTAAAAATTCAAGATAATCTCCACAATGCTTCTATCTGTCTGTCTGTTTGTCTCTCTCTCTCTCTCTCTCTCTCTCTCTCTTAGTCCACTGCCTGGACTGTTCTCTACATGATCCGTGCTCGCTCACTCACATAGTACACCATAATATACACGTACGGACACACAGCCTGAGAAGGTGAATTCATGGGGAGTACACATATCATACACGCGCGCGCATTTGGGAAAGGGCGACAGATTAAAACGACCATAAGCTGGTCTATCTCTCTCTCTGTCCTCTGTCTCATTCTCTCTCTCTCTCTCTCTCTCTCTGCCACCATCTTCCTCCTTTGTCCGTCTCTAAGTAACCAGACATTTGACACACGCTCCTCTCATAGATCTTTTTACAATGAATATATTTTACAACCCCCCCCCCCCCCTCCCCTCCCAGTTCTATCCACTCTATATTCATACAACAAAACAATAGAATACATTTCATAGGATCTTTAATCTTCAAATAATCTTCAATGGAGAGAGAAAAAAAAAGTACATTTAACACTGTGTTCAACATATCAAAGGGGGAAAAGGAATTAAATTGACAATAATTATTGATTTGAAAAGAGAATAGAGCCGGATGTAGCATCTAGATTATGTCTTCTGACTTCTCAAAGTTCTCAAACTGTGGGGCAAATTACTGTGCTCTAAAAGAAGAATGTCCTCTCTGACATCTTGAAGAAGCAACATGTCTTAACCTGTTGACATCTGAATTCTCTTATTCTCATACAATTAATACCCCAAAAACCTGGTTGCAGTGGCCATCGGGTTATAACTTTCAATCCATCATAATTTGCATTTTCATTTCTGATCTTCCGTTTTACTACCAAGTCTCCTCTCAATAAAAACTAATAATCTTAACTTCCAGGAGGTCAAATTGAAGCGCTGATGCTACTGCTCCAGAGGGTCAATCAAAAAGCAGCTCGCTATTACTGTTTAAAGTGGTCATTCATCTTCCATCATTATAAAATATCTGTTACCGGTCCTTCTTTCTACCCAGTCTACTCATGGACTTTCTGCTGGTTTGGTCTCTATCAAGGCTTATTTATAGAGGCCACATCGAAGTGGCGCTGATGATACTGCTCATAAGTGCTCAAAGCCTAGGTGTCATCCAGGAAGTGGCACCAGGATCTTCTTTCCATCATCCAGTCTACCAATATAAATCTTTCTGTTGAACAAGTCTCTATCACCCCTGGAGCTTACTCCTAGGCAGGATGACATCGAAGTGCCCCTGTCCATACTGTTCAAGGGGTCTATCAAGGTAATGGTGCCAGATCTTCGTTTTACTATCCATTTGCCTTACAAATTATTTCCATTAACTCTCTATTGTCCTTTAACATTATTGCCTGGAGGGATGACATCGAAGTGCCTCTGATGGTACTGTTCAAAGGCTTTATCAAGGAAATGGTGCCAGATCTTCTTTCCCCTATACATTCGCCTTAAAATTGATTTCTGTTAGGTCTCTATTGTCCTTTAACCTTACTGCCTGGAGGGATGACATCGAAGTGCCTCTCATGATACTGTTCAAAGGGGTCATCGAGATAATGACGCCTCTTCTTCCAGAAGCCAGAAGTCATCCTGTCCAGCATCTTGGACTGGGTCTTGTTGCAGAAGACGTGCTGCTTCAGTCGGTACCTGCAGAGGATGAACAACATGATCTTAGTCAATAGCACATCCAATATGCTTAAAGGTAATACAAAGTTTTGGTATGGGGTCGTGAATTTGGTTCAAATGAACATATTGGAAGCAAATGCGATCCTACAATATTCACTGATCGTTGTCGCAGTATAAATCGACTTTAAAGTTATGAAATTGTAAATAATAAATACTTTGTGTTGTATAGCTCCCTCTCAAGGTCAAGATATTAATAAAGCTATAAAACAATATTTCTTGACTAAAATTGACCGAATAGCTAATCCCGTTCGGAAATTATATACCACAACTACATAATCTGAGGTTTTCATGGTCGCAGCTACCATTGTACGGCCGTAGGAGCTATTTGAAATTTATCAAAATTTACCGGGAGCACTGGTAAATCTTTATATTTAATTTTTCTCAAAAGCAGAAGTGTTTTAGGGGCAAAAATTTCTAGTGCTTTTAATACACCCACAGGGGCATCCAAATATATCAAAATTGTAAAGAATCACTTTCCACCCATTTTTCAAAATTGCCCAAAACTTTGTAATACCTTTAAGTGTTCAGAAAAAAAAACAGTGGCCTAACTTAGTTTACAGATTAACGGAAAAGCTAAATAGTAACCCCTAGGTTCCAAATAACTTACTGTAACTATCAGACAAAACAAAGTTTACTTGGTCATGAAATAAAAATGATCTTTCATTATTACAATGTATAACCATTTAGTTAGTGAGTTATGGTTATTTGTTCAAAATGAAGAGGTTGACTTTTGACATGTCGTACATCAGTGGGCAAACTTCAGTGCACTTGGGATTGAAACCTTGCCTAAATTTGGACAGCTTTTGAAAATATAGGCCACAACAATATGTAAAATTACCCATCAAAGATTATTATATGAATAATGAGATAATTTTACCCCCCTTGGACAATCACCTTCCCCCCCCCCCCCCCCCCCCCCTCCTGAGGACAATTACCCGCCTCCCAAAAAATCTGCTTTTATTAAAACCATACAGAGTGGACTTCCTCTTTGATGAACAAGGCGGGATTTACCGGGGTGGAATTTTCTGGGGGGGGGGGGTAATTGTTCTAGGGGGTATTTTTCAGGGGTGGGGGCAATTGTCCTCGGAAGAGTAAATATAAGGGGGTGGGGTTATGATCCTTGGGGGGTAGTTTTCCAAGGGGTAATTGTCCTGATACACATGGTCATAACTCATTCTTAATATAGATCTGTATTCATGATACAATCTTCAGAACTTCTACCACCAATAAGTCAAGAGACATTGATGAGATTGTGAATAGCCAATACAGGTATACTGAATAGATGCTGTAAAAAAGCTTTCTATTACATGGCAAGGTTGAACATTTCCAATCACATTTTCTCATACATGTAACTAGAGTACCGGTAGAGCATATTGAAGTTGCTAAATGGAGCAAACCACTCCATGGTTTAATAAATTGCAGTTTACTGTAATATGATTTTTGAGACTGCTCTTTTGCCAAACCACTTATATACAGCATGAAAACATGCTTTAAATGGTTATATTTTCCCTGATGAAATGGACTCCCACTTACGTAGATATTTTTTTGTTCAATACAAGCAGAAGTGAAAGAAAAGCTGAAGGACATTAATACAAAGCTGTGCACGTACGACTGCGTCAAGTAGTCTACTCACAAGTCGCTTTTATGTTCATCGAGAGAGCATTTAAACATTCAATGTCTCTTCATAGAAGTATGTTTTAAAGCTGATGGGTGGTATTCTCATAAGTTAAGCCGGGAATAAGTTTAGACTAAACAAGAAATTTAGTTCACACTTCTATGGAATGCTAGGTTACATCTTCCCCCTTCAATATTCATGACAAAGATAATCTACCAAAGAGTTTGTTTAAATTCAGTTCATACTCATATTATCTTTTTCTTCCCATTTCATTGCAAAATTAATTTTTTGGACACTTTTCATTGCAGGATTAAAATAATCTGTACAGGGTAAATGAGTTGGCAACAGGCACTCCATAAAAGTGTGGACCAAGTTAAGCCAGGCTAACTTGGTACGCGCTATCGAAATACCACCCCATATATTTAATACAGTATAGCTACGTGGAACCCCAAACATACAGAAAAAAATATTTGTTGGTGATTGATACACTCTAAGATATGCCCATTTTAATAGGGGGACACAGGCCTCTTGCCCCCCCCCCCCCTACCAGTGTGCATGTGTGTGTGTGTGTGTATGGGAAGGACACAAGCCTATCACAGGCCTGGGGCATCAAGCCTGACACTTTGTTGCATGACAAGAAGTGAAGCCAGGGATGATTTGAGACTGTAACTTACCGGCGTCTTGGGGTTTTCTTCCACAGTTTCTTGGCCCTTCCAGATTGCGGTCTCACCCACAGACCACTGGATAATAAACAGAGCATTTAATGGTTACTTTTATTATTTATTGAATTCAATGTTTGCAGCCGGGAAGAGTTCCTTAAAGGTAATATGTCCCATTTGCAGGCCAACAAATTGAAAAGGTTACAAATTCCAGTACCACTCCTCTGTCCAATTCTGTAGAACTTTGTATCTTGATCTTTCATTTACATCTTCTATATGTCCATATCCTTCTCTTTGCTACAACATTAATTTTCTATTTCTACCTCTCTTCATTATTTTCTTCATTTTCCACCCACTTTCATCTTCCTTTCCCTTCATTTTTCCTTTTCTGTATCTCTTATCAAACACATGTTATCTTTTCTCTTCATTATCCAAATAGAAAATATTAACATTTCTTATAATAAACTTCTAATTTCAGCGGAGAACATTCAACATCCCTTATAAATAAAAAAATTCACTCCTTCCCTCTTCTCCCTTACCCTTACTCCTAAATAAAGGTTCTTGATTGCCCTAGGAGCACCAGAAATCAACTTACCAGTCAAGTCTGTAGAATCTGTCAATCACTGCGTGAACAGTCTTCTTCTTGCCTTTGCTGATACTGTATCGTACCACTGTCCTGTGGGGCTGATGGGCTAACACTGGAGACGTGACCACCTTCTGGTTTGCACTGCTGGAAAGGAACAGAAAGCAATTCATGACAGAATATAGGATACCAGTAACAATTCCGAAGAACTAACACATCAATCATATGTCGATCAGTTGCACATAAAAGGGTGATTCCATGAGGTTAGGGCAAAAATATAACGATGTCCATGTAACATAAGATCTTCTACACATGGAAGATGGAATCAGCTGTTGAAGATTTTATTTTTATGCAATGAATATATAGAGCATTGCCCTATCATTCCTGTTTCAGTTGCTTCTCTAAAAAATATTTGCTTAATATGTGATTCTTTTATGACAGTGTTACATGGACATCAAATCTAAATAGCATTACACGTTTTGGGTCTATAATATTGATTCACCATGAAACTATATTACTTCCAAACATAGTTTGTTATGCTTATTAAATGCTAAACTCAATTTGAGCAAAGATTGTTATAGTTGATAGGAGACACAATTTCTCACTTCTGGTATGTCACAAAGATTGCTACAGCCCATTCAATTTTGTTTAAATGATACTGGAAACTATTGCACGCTTTTTCTATGAAAAAAACAGGGGATAAGCTCAGTAAATGAATCACACATGACCGTCTTTGACCAATCATTTGATTATGATCTACAAGTGAATTGAATAAAATAAAATATGTGCTTCACTTAAGTAGCCTATCATTAGTTACATAATTGGGATAAATATTTACATTTTTTTGTTGCTAAATCCTCCAGTGTACCTGCTACAAATCAAGCTTGAGAAGGACCTTGTCTGGATCAGACGTCCATCAGGACCTGGAGCTGGGGCTTTGAGACTTAGACCAGTCAGCCTGGAGCATATCGTGGAGAGCTCATCCCCCCTGAACGAGCCCTGCTGAAGGGCAGGGGGCTGGTAGAGGGGTGCAGAGGTAACACCCCTAATGGGTGTGGTCTGTGGCGATGAACTCAAAGCAGGAGCTACAGCTTTGTGAATGTTCTTCTGCTTAATACACCGGGTACGACATGGAGTTGAAGCTGGTGACAACAGATTTAAGTGGATTCGTGGAACTATCAGGCAAAAGGAGAAAAAAAATAAACATAACTTATCAACAAAGTGAATCATACAATTCTAAAAATGTATAACTCATCAAAAGTATATATCTTAGTATAAGTTAATGAAAAAAGTACTTCAAATCCTGAGTAATTTATGAATACCAGTATATACAATTTTAAAAATGCACAAGTATTAGAAGTTAACTTGGAATTTTTACAGTTATTTGATTCACCTGTTGACAATCAACTTCTGGGGTCATTTCATTAAACCAAGATCATGATAGTAATGTCTTTGTCAGCGACCTACAGAGATGTCAGGAAGCGGAAAACCCATTTCACAAAGCAAAAAATATATGTTTTTCAAAACTATCAGCTATAAAGATATAGTCTTGGCTCTTTAGCTTTGCCAGGAACCATCGGAGTTTGTCCTGAATTACAAAAAGAGATTAGAGTAAAGGAGCCAGTAATCGGCCAGCTCCAGTTTTCGGCCGATTGGTTGGATGCAAGGTAAAATCACTCTAAAATACATCGCATAATAGCATAACACATATCCCACACATACCATACCATGCCAGTGTCACTGAAGAACCACATTTGCAATGAAGAATATATCCTAAAATATCACATTTTAGCGATGTAATCGGCGGTCCCGCTACCCGAATCTGAAAAATCGAGTTTCTTACTCGTGTATGTAAGAAATATGGGTACCATAGAATCAGCTTTATTTCAAGTATTTTTCAGATTTAGAGCCCGATTTTGTGTTAGTCGCAAGCTCAAAAGTATCTCATCGCATGTATTAAATCAATGCAGCCGGACCCTGCCACGCACACACGATATGTCTGTCTAATTCAGATTCCAACTTCCGATCACCGCTGTGCCTGTCTTCGGCCAGGCGAGCGCCCGGAAGCTCCAGCGTGGGATACCTGCTCCGCCCGCTTGTGATGTACATCAGCGCGGAAACACACGGCGCGCGCGAGCGCTTCCTATTGACTTTGTACATGCGGCCGTAAACTGAAACGCTAGGCCGATAACTGGCTCCAAAACAGTTAAAATTGAAATGAATATTGTCATGGCAATTCGTGATTTTTTTCTGGGATTCTAGTTTTGTTTAAATAATATATTTGCTTCATGATTTGAACAAAAAATGATAATAAATAGGAAGTAAAGGGTCCTAAAAATAGGATTTTGTCTAAAGTGGCCGAAAACGGGCTCCTTTACTCTATGACTATGAAACTTAATTTCACTAAAACTGTTTGAAAAAATAAGAATCTAATAGGGTGGCATCACAAATGATACAAACATCCGATTTGTGAGTCTACTAGCTGTCAAACTTGCTGATCAGCCACATTGGGCATTTTTGTGCAAGGTGTGTATTGACTATTCATGTGTGCAATTGCTGCCTCTTAGCAAGTAGTACAGCGCTTGAGGTCAATACGAAATCTTCTTCCAGTTAAGTGCCGCTTCAAGGTGATGAAGATAATCGCACTGGTTTTGTGCGTGTACACTGTAGACTAGTGTATGTGGAGACTTTCACATATCCTGTTATTCAACATTTTAACTTGTTGTTCTTGTTGTGCATTAATATTAGCATTGACTCTCTATGCTTTGCTAGAGTACCTGCACCCCCCCCCCCGGCCTTGGCGCGCTAAATACCCCCCCCCCCCCCCTGCCCAATTCCAATTTACTGCAGAACTACCGCCGAAGACCGGGCCTATCCGCGCCAAGCGACCGGCTAAGTAGTGACTAGTGCCAGTAGTGGGCCCAATCAATCATGCACATGACCGACTTGCACTCAGGCTCAGCTCAGTTAGACACATATTTCGGAGCAAATAAGCGACTCATAACCCACATCACCCGGACCAATTAAATGTATAGCAAACGTAGATCACATCATCACAGTTTTATAAATTGATATCAATGCATGATTCGAATAATAATGATTTCATTTTACCTAAACTTGCAGCAAACACTCTCATGGAGGCTGCCATTTTGTTAGACTGCCCTCTGGTGACGTTGACATGAATTTTTTTCAGTCGCGCGAAAATTGAGGTCGAGGCGGAGTAAAACATTTTTGTTTTGTTTACTTTAGCTAAATTACCGCCAACATGAGTGAAGAAATTGATGAAAGTTTGGAAAATGAATTCTCAAGTGACGAAGAGGAGGTCGAGATGACGGCTGCAGACGTTCTGCTAAAGCTGGAGGAGGTGAGTATTTCTTTATTTTCTTGTTTTTCGTCAAGTACTGAAAAGTCAACAAAAGCCTTTGCCTACTACTTGTACTAGCACGGCCCTTGGCTCAGGCATCGGGTTCGAAGCTCGGGCCACTCGCTCAGCCTTGCGGAGCTTGCTGGAGACCGAGCTCGAGGAGGAGAATCTTGAATCTTGAATTTGTTGCACCCAAAAAGCTACGTTGACAGCTGTCCAGGGTGGAGTAATAGTGGTAGTGTGTGAGTGCGTGATGCGTGCAAGTAAAAGAAGCCAGACATTGTGCAGAAGAAGACATGTAAACTGGAGAGTACGAAGAAGTAGGGTGCATCTGGTGAGAACATTAATGTCGGCTTCATGGCTTCCCTCCCTACAGGGCCCTGGTGGGCATGCCCATCATGGCTATGATGGACGGGACTGCGGAGGTCTGAAAACCAGCAATCGAGCTAGATGTTACAGCTACTGCTGGGAGTCTGTTCCATATGGCCACTCGGGGGAAAAAACTGTACTTAAGTTATAGCAGTCCACTCTGCAGGGAAGCTGGTGAAAAATAAATGGGTGTGTGGTGTGTCCACGTAGCTCTCGAGAGCAAGCTCAAGCTGATACTTCCCGATTCCTTGTAGACTATTATTGTAAACTTGCTTTAGGCTTAGCCAGGCTAGGCAAGGTAGGGTGTTTCCGGGACATAATCATGATTCATGAACGATGGATCATGATTATGATAAATTAAATAGACCTGTGTCTTGTGACTTCATGTGAATGTAAATGTGTGTGTTGTCAAATTCTAACACTTCATACGTCATAATAGTTTGATACAGATTATCTTTACTAATGTTTGACTCTCAAGAGAGTAGAGCCTATCATGTCTGTTTATGAATGACATCCTTCCCCTATTTTTTTAATTAATATCTCTTTCTCTTTCAATTTCCTCTTTCTCTTTCTCTTTCTCTTTCCTCTTTTCTCTTTTTAACCTCTCCATCTGTGTACGTCTTTCAATTCCTGTTTCTCTGATCTGCCTCTCTCTCTCTCTCTCTCTCTTTGACAGGCCTGGTTAAATGAGAAGTTTGCTCCTGATCTGCTGGAGAGCAAGGTGGAAATAGTGGAGTGTATGCTGGAGCAGCTTCAGCAGATGGAGGAGAATGTCAAAAAATGCAAGAAAGGAGATTTCAGGATTATTGTTCACAAGATGGAGGTATATGGATTGTTTGAATTTAAATGAAAACACATATTTTTTCTAGTGAATAAATACAAGAAATATTTTAGGAGCAATTTAGTAGAGTTATCAAAAAGAAAAACAATTGATACAATGTGTATTAAACTACAGGTAGTGTCAATTTGTTATAAACATAAGTGAGAACAAAATAAGAATTACTTTTGAAAAATGATCATGCATACATGAAATATATATCTTAACACAACTTCAAGTAAAAAGGAATGTAGAGAATAAAACTTGATCATATCCCAATGAGATATTGTTGCAGTGGTAGATTATGTCTCAGATTCTTGTTTTTAATTTGTCTGTAGAATTGATGGTCCACTAATATCTTGGGTAGTTCAATGACATATAGTTCTCTATAATTCTCTATAACTTTGATCAAGTTGACTTTGTCTTTGCTTTTTTTTTCTTTCTTTTATTCTGTTTTACTCTTTTTTTTTTCCCTCTTTTTTTTTTTCTCTCTTTTTTTTTTTTTTTTTTTTTTTTTTGTAAGGGGGGGGGGGCGACCAATAACAGTGTAGCTAAACAGGGTTATCCTACATCATATGAGTGGGTAAATTTGTGCATTTAGCAAGAACTCAAATGCAAATATAAACTGTACACAGAAACCCTACTTGGGGGCCCAATTAAAATGTTGTTAAATTCTCTCCATCCTATGTTTCTATACAGATTGACAGAATAAGATATGTCTTGAGTAGTTACCTGAGGATACGACTGAGAAAGGTAAGATACCGTAAGAACTAATAAAACAAAGAAATTGGTCTAACTGTGAATTGTGTGAAATAAACTTCTTTTTTTTCTTTTTTTAGGGAGGGGGGGGGGGGTTCTTATCAAGTCACCACATACATGTAAATATAGTAGGAAATGGTATAAAAATCGAGAAGAAATCTCTTGATTTGAATAGGTGATTTGATCATATCTTGGTTATTCCATGACAAGCTGCATATACATGCATGTATATCATTATCATAAATCATGGTGGTGGTCAGTTATTTGATATGGTATGAACTCTTTTTTCCCTTTTCTTTCTTTCCACTCTTTTAAAATGAGATCATGTGCCATATTTTTATTTTTAGGAAAACAAATTTAGAAGTTTGTTCATCTCATCATTCATATACTAGTATTAATTGCCATTTTTAATAAAAGCAATGCCACTATTATACATATCTCTTTCTCCCCCCCCCCCTTTTCTCTCTCTCTCTCTCTGTGTCTTTCTCTCTCTCTTTCCCTCTCTATCTCTCTCTCTCTCTAACGTTCTACAGATTGAGAAGTTTGTCCATCACACACTCCACAAGGAGTCAACCAGAGGTCCAGATGAACCAAAGATGCTGTCACCAGAGGAATTCACCTTTGCGAAGGAGTAAGAAAAAAAAACACCTTGAATTTATTACTTTGTTGTACAGAAATGTTGGATGTGCAAGGTTTAGTCCAACTGTCTGTAATAGATTTGCAGGTCTCCTCGTAAAGCCCCTCTGCACTAGTTTTGCCAGGAGGTATTAGACCTCCCCTGTATGGTCACTGACAGGTGGTTCTCTCATCAAATCAGCTATCAATTAACATAAGAAAAAGGGGACCATGGGAAACCAACGGGCTTTAAATCATGTTGTCACAGTGTAGATATTTGACGCCTGTCTGCTGTTTTATGAAAAACATTTTTAGCTACGGCGTTGGTTTGCGCTATTTCATTTTTGTCAGGTATTTTCATGATTTGAATTTGTTTAGTGAGTGGATCAGAGACAAACATGAGAGGTTTAGGAGAAGAAATGTAAGCTTTTTCTCTCTTTGTCATTTGCCTGAAGAGTAAATTACAATGTCGTCTTACGAACCAGAAGGTCATTAAGTCTGTGTTAACGTCTATAAGTTAACACCCATCTGGCTTCAAACTGTTAATATGATTGCTTCCTTCTTGTCCACTGCAACATGTGAAGCAACCATAACTCATCTCTTCTCCTGAAGGGGACTGCATTTACATCAGGGGAGTGTTTCACATAGACTAAGATCGACTTTAAGTTGGACTTAAATATGGCAGGCTGTTCATGCCACCGTTTACTCTCACCATTTACTGGCATTGGTTTCTTTAAAGAGACGTACAAATCATGGTCACAAATCTACAGAATTACATTTTTTGGTAATTCGTTATTGAAGGAAAACATCTTAACATCATAATTGAGAGACCAATGATGAGAGCAAGCAGTGGCATGAATGGCCTGACATAGTTAAGTCCAACTTAAAGTCGATCTTAGTCTTTGTGAAACACTCCCCTGGATTAGTTCACTCTTATTTTTTATGACTTCTATCAATCTTCTTCATTTTTTTTCTCCAGATTTGCAGAGAGCTTAGAGTCCAATTCGAACACAGTTGTGCTGCGACACATGCCCCCAAACCTGCAGACCCTTGATAAACAAAAGCTAGGTGAATATACAGACTTACTTTTATTTTTATTTTTTTATTGGAAGGGGTAAGGGAGGGGTGTTTGTGTGTCAAGATTTGCATTTCTTTGTGTGTTATGTGAAAAGTTACAGCTGAATGTTCCTGTGTGCCAATCATTTCAACATCATGCCTTTCATTTCAATATCGTCCTCTGAGTCTTAAGCAGAACCTTAAAGACATCGTTTAACAATGTTAAATCTAAGATGCATGGCCCTATTTGCTATCAGTGTTTGTGATATATATGTATGGTGTAATATTGAAGCCCTAAACAAATTGCGCTTCAAAAAGTAAAAATCTTTGGGTGACCGGTTTTACCATCCTCATTTTCCCCAATAGACTGGGGTGTTATGAAAACCGTTAGGAAAACACGAAATTTGATTTGGATTTCCAATCATAAATATCTTGATAATCAGACAGGCGATCGGCTTATAAATGTCATGGGATTCATGTATGCCCTAAAGGTTTGTAATAATGATTGCAGCATGAGCTAAATCAAGGATTTTTTAAGGATCTGAGACAAAGTTACCGGATCCCTTTAAAATCTATTTATTCCTTTGATGTGGTCTTATGATTTCTTACTTTTTAAATAGGCTTTCAATAGTGTTTTCCGGGTTTTCTCAAGGCCAAGCTTTAGAGCTACACCGTTCATTTGAGTCTTTTTTTTTCAAGGACTCTAATTATATTAGAATATACTTTCTCTCAGCCCAATCTGGGACGTGTTTTACACATGATTTGAATATGAAGAGCCAAATGGGGTGCCCTAAGTTTTTCCTGACATTTTAACAAAGTGTGACTGTAATTCCGATGATCTCAATTAAATTGTAGCCAAAAATACAGTTTGCATTAAAACGGTGATAAGGTTAATCTACATCTGCATACTTCATCTTTAGCTTATGCAATTAAAAGGATTTGAGAATCCCATTTAGCTCTTCATATTCAAGTCATTTGTAAAGTCATGCGTAACTTCACGCACAAATTTATGAAACACCCCCCCCCCCCCCTGGATTCTTAGGCCTTTCATCAAGTCATTGATTCTAAGCCTATTGCAATATGTCTTTACTATTTTCTTGCTAGTTCCCAAGCCCAACCTGGACAGCTATGTATTCCTGAGAGCTAACGAGAGGCAGGAGCAGATACTCATAGAACCAGAACTAGAGGATGAACAGAAGTAAGTCCATTAAAGAGAAAGTTGACTATGATTGTATTATGAAATACATTTTTAGAAGTTAATGGTAAAGGTTGAATTTGTAATATACATTTATAATGATAATTTTGTACATTTAATATTATAAATTTTTTAAATCACCAAAGAGACATAGCATTGGCTTATTTTACTCAAAAAATCATAAGTACGGTAGTGAAAAGCTCTGCAAGCAGATTATATAAGAATGCATATATATATATCATTGATTTTGGTCTAGAGAGTTGAACTGTGGCTCATGAATATACCTTTCACATGAATATTAAGAATATGAGAGTATTTCAAGAAATTAAAGTCTTTCTTGTGCCATGTATAGTTTTGGGTAATTCAAATCAAAGTAATTTAACTTTGTTGTGTGGCCCGTCTTGCTTTACAAGTAGTTACTTAGTAAAATAGCGGACTTGTCTGATTCCTCACAAAAACCCTCATTATAAATGTAGAATCTGAAATTCATTGTGTCTGTTTTTATGCCTCCGCCACCGAAGGTGGTGCCGGAGGCATCATGTTTTCGGGTTGTCCGTCCGTACGTCCGTACGTCCGTCCGTACGTCCGTCCGTACGTCCGTCCGTACGTCCGTACGTCCGTCCCGTTTGACCGTTATCACAATATCTCAAGAACCATTTAAGATTTAAACTTAAAACTCGGGAATAGTATTTATCACCATAGGAAGACGATCTGATTAGATTTTGGAGTACGTAGGTCAAAGGTCACAGTTCACAGAGGTCAACTTATGAAATTCCTTGTATTGAGTTTGTTAGCGCGATATCTCAAGAACCATTTGAGATTTAAACTTCAAACTTAAGGATAGTATGTATCACCATAGGAAGACGATCTGATTAGATTTTGGAGCACGTATGTCAAAGGTCAAGGGTCACAGAGGTCAACTTATGAAATTCCATACATTGATATTGTTATCATGATATCTCAAGAACCACTGGAGATTTAAACTTCAAACTTAGTGATAGGGTGTATCACTATAGGAAAACAATCTGATTACATTTTGGAGCACGTAGGTCAAAGGTCAAGGGTCATAGAGGTCAACTTATGAAATTCCATACATTGAGATTGTTATCATGATATCTCAAGAACCACTGGAGATGTAAAAACTTCAAACTTAAGGATAGTATGTATCACCATAGGAAGACGATCTGATTAGATTTTGGAGCACGTAGGTCAAAGGTCAAGGGTCACAGAGGTCAACTTATGAAATTCCATACATTGAGATTGTTATCATAATATCTCAAGAACCACTGGAGATTTAAACTTCAAACTTAATGATAGTGTGTATCACCATAGGAAGACAATCTGATTAGATTTTGGAGCACGTAGGTCAAAGGTCAAGGGTCACAGAGGTCAACTTATGAAATTCCATACATTGAGATCGTTATCGCGATATCTCAAGAACCACTGGAGAATTTTCACTTCAAACTTAATTATAGTATGTATCACCATATCATGATATCTCAAGAATCACTGGAGATTTAAACTTCAAACTTAATGATAGTGTGTATCACCATAGGAAGACAATCTGAATAGATTTTGGAGCACGTAGGTCAAAGGTCAAGGGTCACAGAGGTCAACTTATGAAATTCCATACATTGAGATTGTTATCATGATATCTCAAGAACCACTGGAGATTTAAACTCCAAACTTGTTTAAATTGCTCTATGGCGGAGGCATCATTTTCGACTGCGCGCAGTCAAAATTCCATCTAGTTCTTTTCCTTTATCTCTATGTGCCAGTGCTGAAGTCGTCGACATAGATGCTGGTTCCCAGTATATCATGAGATATCGACCAATGGGATCTCTCGTTGCCAGCGGAGCTGTTTCTCTTATATGAGGGGTCCGTTGGAAGAACAGCGATGATTTCTCTGAACATTTGTACCACAGACTTTAAATGAACATCTTCACGGACTTGATTGTAGTGAGATGCAGTACGAGTACATAGCGACATGACTGAAAGTGCTGGACTTCTTTGCTGCATCCTGCAATGTCCTGCAAAAAAATGGTACTTCGGTTATGCCTTGAGGATACAAGCGTTACCAAAATGTCCATGTCCATATTGATAGTACAGTCACATCAACCCTGCACCATGGACATCACCGAATAAGTGGGAAATGGTGGCCAAATTAGTCAAGAGAGCTGAATGGATCGCAAATTCTTGTGTGAAAATTTGCATTGTCTTGAGTATAGGAGCTGGGTAATACAATTTAGTTAGTGTGTTAAAACACCATTTTTTCAAGATTATTAGAAAGGAATGTGCAGAATGGTCACTACACAGGTAATGTGTGAAAAGAGGTGATATTCTACGAAACGTGAATTCAATGGCTAATCTATTTAGAGGTCTGTTGTATAGCTTTCTCTTTGGCTCTTGATATATAATCGTGGTACGATGCCAAGTGTCCCTCAGTGCATAGCTGGCCTGACTCTGATAAATAGTCTCCCAAAGTAGTGTATATTTGTATTTTTATACTACTTATACCATTATGCATTATCCCTGTTCCATCTATACTTTTCAATCGTTCAGCTACAGCCCACAAGAATGACAATGTCTGCCTAGACTGACAGACACGAAACCAACATATTTTCGTCTTCCCTCCAGTATTTCTTTGTTTTGTCAGTCTCACTGGCGATGTGTCTCATGAAACTTGTGGAAGCTGGAACTCCTTTTGTGTTGTAGGTCTTGAGGGCTGTCGGGTCGAATGGGTTACCGCACCATCTGTTAAAACTGTACATCTTTTCCTGCCTTGCCCTGGACACTAGTTACTGAGTCACTTTAATGTGTGTACAGCCGTAGCATTTTTGAGGATTGATACAAATAATGCATGCATATGAGTTCATTATATGAGCTATCTGCACTCGAGTTGAACCTGTATGAGTCTATCGTATGAAGCCTGACAGCTTTGTATGATAGGTGTATAAATAGCCTCAACAAGAGCTTGTAGAGCATGTATTGAACAAATGAAAACATGCATCACTTGTTTTATACATTAAAACTCCTAGATCCTTGTCATTTGCTCTAAAAAGTACTCATTTCAAGATTTGTTTTGTGTCATTATAGTTGACAAATAAATCCAAAGTGTACATTAGTGCTATGGTCAAATGTTTAACCGTCCAGTATCCGACCGTCCATGGATGTATGCACACTAACCTCTCCAGGTGTTGTGTAGTGCTACACAAGTATAGGCCCACACACAGTACAAGTGGACTAACCTCTAAAAGCACTGCTGTGCATTGCTTACTAAAAAAATCATTGGATAGTACTGGAAATTATTGCACAACTTTTACATGATAAAATATGGGATAATTTCAGTAAGTAAACCACAAGTGACTGTGTTTTTACCAATCATTTGAGGAGGATCTAGGAGTGAGTTGCATAAAATACTTGGATTGCACAGTTTATTCCATATGCTCATGATACAAGTATGTGACTTGGATGAGAAAAGAAAACAATAAAACTCTATAATTTTGTACTGATGTGTGTATAGTCATTCTTGTTATTGGTGTAAAACGTTTTTGTCTAGAGTGGAAACGTGTTCTAAAGCAGTGAGAACACTACTATGAAACAAACATGTTTTAAAGCCACACTGTACTACTTGTAGCTACTTGCTCCCTCTATATAGAAAACAATGCCTAAGTGGTGCCTGTTGGTCCCCCATGATCCTCTTTTTCTTATGTTAATTGAGAGCTGAGTTGATGAGATAGCCACCTGTCAGTGACCATGCTGGGTGGTCTAATCCCTCCTGGCCAAACTATTACAGATGGACTTTAACTGTAGTTTTACCTGTCCTGCTTCATTTTCCATCTATTTTTGTTTTTTTATAGTTTTTATGTATAAAGGTTTCCATAATTATAACAAGGCGATTTTCTCAGCCAAATGAAGTTAGCTATAGGCCCATTTACACAGCCAAAATATATTTTTTTAAATCGTAAATGTTTGGGGCTGCTATTTACAATACTGGAAAAACCCTCTGTGTTTGCTCGTTCCGATTCTTTGGTGAGTACATTTAGTTTGCATGCTCGATTTGTTTGCTGCTCTGCATGCAAATGCACAGAGGAAAGGAGAGTCATGTGACCAAAAAAAGATATTGTACCAAACTTTCCAGAGTGGGCATTTACACTGCAACAATCTGAAATTTTGGCAGGCATTAAAAAAACCACACTCCAGAGGTGGATTATTTTTTTCAATTTTGTTTTGTTTTTCCTTGTTTTTGCAGGTAATTTGCTAATCAACTATCGATGAAACACCAGAAGTTGAGCAAAAATCCAAAAAAACTGCTAGCAATGTAAATGCAGCTATAGACAAGGTTTCTCTGTATATGATTTTGCAAGATCTCAATTAAATTTACCTGTTTTATGAAAGTTTTCAAAGTAGTTTACATTAACCTGTCATATACACAATATTGAATGTTCACTTTAATTTTCTGTTGGCAAGTTTGGGATTCTTTAGAGCCTTGTCAGGAGATTACAAAAATAAAGGTTTTTGTCGCCCTCTTCATTTTTATAGTTGTAATTCATTTATTAATTTGTTTATTTATTCATTAATGTTATTGTTTATTTATTCATTCATTTATTTATTATTCTGTTTTTTAGTTGTTTTGTTTTGCTGTCTGTTGTCATAGTTTAATTTGTCATTGTTAATTATCAATTCCTCCCAAATACCAAAATAGTAAGTCATGGTTTCGTTCACTGCAACGTCAATTTGTTTTTGGAAAATCACAACCTCTTGAAATAGGTCCACAGTGAGTGGTATGCTCCACACACAGTTTTATTGTTCACCTTCCACCTTTGTGGAAGAACGCCATCTATAGGTGAATATTTAATAGTGCGATTTTAGTTTTTGCTCCTGATCACTTGATCGAATATTTTGTCACGGTGAGAATTCCTTTTTTTACAATTCATTCCTTAGTTTTTAGGGAAAATCTATATACTTAGCCACCCAATCCTCGTCAACATTAAAGGGTTACGAATAATATATAATTTGAATGGTAAGCGATTTCGAGATTTAAAAAAAAAAAAATTCTCTCATCTGAACAATGTTATAGAGTGGGGTTACTATTTCTCAAATTTAACATTTGAATGCAAGGAAAACGTGTCCTTTTACGTAAGTATATTCTAAATACTTTCTTACATCTGCGATCAATATGATAAGACTGTAAATTTCCTTCTCCTCTTTTAGTAACATCTTTTAAAGAGAAAAAAAAAGTCGAACAAATACTTTTTGTCCTGTCCTTTCCTTGATGGTGAAGATATGTAGACATGGTTTTCTCTGTTCGTTTTCACGCATTTCTAAGAATCTGTCCTTTGAAAGAGGTCTAACCAGGCCTGATGAATTCCCGATTTAAATTGATTTTCCTATTTTGATTTATTTCCCGATTTTCCCCCGTTTTTTTTTTTGGGGGGGGTAGCCCTTATTTATTTATTTTTTTTAATTTTTTAAACATGATTTTTGTCAAAAAGTGGATAGTCCCTGAAGTCAATGTAAAACTGGTTTAAAATCAGGGAGGAGGGGTGAGGTGTCGTTAGTTTTCACGACTTGCTTGAACGGTTTTCAAAAACTTTTTTTTTTTAAACACTCATTCATCACCCCTGGGTCATGTTCACGAGGTCGGAACATGTCTGAGTTTGTGGGGCAGGTGCTCGAGATCGCATGATCGAAACAAGGAGCTAAAAGAAAATGGGTCAGAGCATGGCCTATTTTATTTGAACCCGTATCCTCTAGGCCTCTTGCATAATTACTCCATAGCAGAGGTTTGATATAGTTCCGTGCCAACTGGCTCCGAACTCTGCATTGAAGCTCAACAATGCCTGAATCATCAGGAACTGACTCCTGTGCTTCGTTTCTCAACACTTGATATCAACAGCAAGTGACAAAACTGGCTACCGAAATCATTGCATTTTATTGGCTTTGGATTATTGTCGAAAAAGTGATAGTGATCCTTCTTATGAAATGCTTGTACGGTTGTACTATATAAAACGGGCCTGTGATTTAACTTTTCCCCCAATGGCGGAACAATTTTCGAGTGGCACAATACTAGGGATTTTTTTCCGGACATTATTTTCCAATGCAAATTGTGACAGATATACGCAAACGGGAGAAGTGATTAAAACAGATCTAATACTTTCGGATGAAATCCGAATAATTGTGATATAATGTTTTCACAAATGAAGCATTTTCCCCGCAGAAGTTTGATTTTCTCTCTTCACCTCCACTTAGACCACCCCTCCCTTCCTCTCTCTCTCTCTCTCTCTCTCTCTCTCTCTCTCTCTCTCTCCCTCTCTCTCTCTCGTGTCAACATCTCTTGTTTGTTTTTCTATCCTTGAAGCTTGGAAGTTCAAAAACAGTACGCTATCTTTCATTTTCCTTCTGTGTCGTCGCATCTGGCGTAAATTCAAATTTATACTTTGCAGAATATTTGCGAGTTGGTGGAGAAAAAACAGGTTGATAAGCTTTTGTGTCTACAGTCATGGAATGGAGAGAAGAGAATAAAAGCCGAAAAGCTGAAAAGAAAAGAAAAACTGGAGGAAACGAGAGAATTTATCCTTGAGCTGACCCTGGATATCCTGGCTCATGGTAAACACGTGTGTTGGGAATAGTCTGTAAAATTAGACCAAATATGTACAATTAGGGGAAATATAATCCACAAAACATGCGGAAACTTAAGCAATTAGAGGAGTAAACCTTCTCAATTTTAACTCATCTATAGGAAAAATGTCTCCTCGTTAATCAAATGTACAATAGCCTTACATTGCCGTGTGTTGAATGACGCAAGACTCCATACAACAAACATGAGGAATCGTTCACCATTAGCTTTTATACTGTACGTATGGGTTGAACGGAACGGAGAGTCTGTGCAAGCTGTTTGCATGAAAAGACTACCTATCCCCGTTGCGTCAGCGTGCTTCTGATACCACGTAAGATCCATGATTCATACTCGAGGTACGCTGGACGAAAGTCAGACGTACGTTTGAAGGGGTATCCCCTCGTGCGATAAATTTAGCCCACGATTACGACGCATGGTACGTAGGCCCTTGTGCATTGTGACGTCTTAAAGACTCCTTTTATCATCATCATAAATTATCTTTTACATCGTGATTCCCTTGTAGCTTTATCACTCATGGTTCGCATCGTGGCCACCTTTTTTAAAATTTAATTCTACTTCAACTTCTTCCTCTCCTCCTCTTTCTCTTTTTCTGCCTCCTCTTCCCCTTCTCCTTCTTCCCCCTTTTTTTTCCTTCTTCTTGTTATTTCTTGGTATTTCTTGAACTTCTACTTTTACTTTTTCTTTCTTGCAATTCTTATGCTTCACGTGACCATAAAAAATAGAATATATAAATAGTAATTTGTTTTTCCAACTTTTCCCCCTGCTAATTCTTTGTTTATTGATTAATTATCATAATTGATTCGTTTTTAAGGAGTGCCATCGTTGATGCGTTTTTAGATTGATATAGGCCTAGTTGTAAAAATGATTCCATGACAATTTAATAGTAAATCTATACTACACTCGACGAACGGTATAATCAGGTAGATGTATCACATCTCCCTGGTTTAAATATAACCTCATATTTGGTAGGGTTGGTGGTTATATTTGTGGGAAATTAACCATTTTTAAAGCAGAGTCTAGTTACAAAATAGACCTACTCTTTGTTTGCGAGTGTATCATCACGGACATAGACTAGTTTTCTTTATAAATCAAAAAGTCTCCTGTACATGAACGAGTCGCGTGCTAGTGTCAACCTTACCCCCTCCCCCTCCCCCATGTCCAAATTATTTTAGTCAAATATTAGTATTGACCTGGAACTACTACTAGGTCAATGCTAAGGTCCATATTGGCATGGGTTATAATACTTCACTAAATTGTACACTTTAATAGTGTTTTCCTGAAATACCCCCATAATTTTCATAAATTACCGTAGGCATATGTGTAATAATAATTTTCTCATATCCTGAAAATGTGGTTTGGCAAAAAATAGAAGAGTAATACACGTATGTTTTCAATTTTTATATTTTCCACTAATTCTATCTATTTATTTCAATGCTTTGTCCTACATACATGGGGAATATAACACACCGCTAAGATGTTTTTACAAAACTTCAGTTGGTTTGGAACTTTTCTCTCCTTTTCGACAATAATTATTCTTGTAACACATCTGAAAAGGAAAAAAGCAATAATACATATCTTTGTACATATTGCAGTGGTGTCTTGAAGAGGATTTAGAAACACGTAGACATGAAGGGGGGACACTTATTGGGGTCGAAATATATAGAACAGTGGGCGAGGCTTTGAGGTGGTTGAAGCTAGCGACGGCTGGAACATGCTCGATGCGGTTCATTGTTCTCGAACCTGATTGGTCGCCCGTCTTCCGTCAGGGGCCTGGAGATCCGAGGTTAGTCCTGTGATTGGACAACCACTGGTATTCACGTGTTGGCTGCATATCCAGTCATGGTATCTTCCATTGTAGAATAGGGGTGAAGTGTGTTCTAAATAAGTGATACATTTTGTTGTTTTCTTGGTGAGCAAGTTTGAAGAAGAACTTTTTTTTAGAAAACATTTAATATTTATGAAGAATACAAAATTGAACACTTGGGAAGTATTTTGGGGTCTTTCACAAGAAAAATTGTCATTTTACAAAACAACGGACTAGTTTCCGCAAAGTAACGTACGCACAATTTACACAGCTAGATAGTTAGCTAGTCCTTTAACCTTCACACAAGATTAGTACCGGTACATGTGTGCGCGCGCGTGCGTTGTGTACGGGTGTATGGATTTTTAACGTTTCATCAATTTGCAATTTCTACCTAACTTCGTGCGGAGCATGCATCGTTGCAAATTTTACGACAAACGGTCCGTTTATTGATGAACTCTTCGTGGATGTAGTTAGTTTTGCTTTGATTATGTTGTCTTGACTTTTTAGTAAGTATTACCGTTTCTTTGATTCAATTTAAATAATGTGCTAGGCCTAGGTCTACATCACAATTTTACCTTACTTCTCTGAAGCTGGAGTCTTTCGTAGCTAGGTACATGTCAGGTTCGTATTTTAAAGGGATGTGCGACGATCAGCTGTTCGACAACACTGCATTTATATACACACTGTTACTGTACCACTGTAGGCTATGTAGACTCTAGCTCTACACTGATCTGCATGTCATCAGCAGTCATTCATATTCCATTTGATTAACTCATTAGTTTCTGTTTTATTGTTAATTACTCAGTCTATCAATATTCTCAACTAGTGCACCTGTAAATATAACAAAATTATGCATGGAATTTTTAAGAGATGTCTGAACTTCAATTCAAGTTCAAGCAAAACTCAAAACTTGGCTCGAGGCTTGACTGCTCAAACTTCAAAGACTTCTCAATCTCAGATTATTTTGCATTTTTGGATCGTATCACCACTTTCTCCTAGTAAGTAGACATATGGTAAGAAAACTAAGAATCCTATCGACTACCGTATTCACATCTTGTCTCTTTTATATTTGGCTTTGGGTTAATGATTGGTTACTAATGTAAAAGTGTATTTCAACAGTTCAATCAAAATCTAGATTTAGAAGTCTAGAGTCTACATCTAAATTAAATTTATGTTTTTCCCATTTTTTTTATATGTTTAGTTTGCCTTTCTCCACTTCCAGGAATAACTGTGAGCTTCAGAAGTGCTCTGCTGTTATGCTGACATCATCCAAGATTCCTGGAACATAGCTTCTCCAAGCTGTTTGATATGCCTGCCAGAATTTCAGGGTTTGGAGCCATACCTTTTTGTGACATGCCAATGGACACGATACTTCTAAGTTCCAGTCCACCTGGCCTAGGTTGCTTCCCCACAGCAAATTCTTTGGGATATTACCATCAGAGAGTTCCTCCAAAAGGTGGATTCAGTATGGGGATCGGATTGAAGGGAGATTTCCTGATGCAAATGCAGCGAGACAGAAGAAAACTACCTCTTCGCTCATGTATCAAGAGCAGAACTGTAACCAATGGCTATGATTATCGAAAGAACAGTCTAGATAATATGACGAGAAGTGCTGTTTGCATGACGAACGGTAAAGCGGCCCAAAGTCCTGGCTTACATCGGAGAAACGAGCTGAAATCGAAGCCTGAGATTAGGGCGTGTAATGGGAAAGAGAAAAAGAAGGTATCTTTTGCAGATGCTCAGGGGTATTCACTCCAGACTGTGAAGTTTATGGATGGGCCAAGCAATATGCCTCCCAAGTTGAGCATTCACTTACTTGATGATGTCATTCAAAATGCTGAAGCAAAGCCTACGAACCCTTACACTTACGTGCCCGACTTTGAACAGCCCGCATCTAATTATTTAGAGTTTCGAAAGAGGCTGGAGAGTGAGACTGTGTGTCTGGAGAATGTGATGATCAAAGATAACATCACAGTCGTAGGTACCATCAAAGTGAAGAACATTTCTTTCGAGAAATCCGTCTTCATTCGGGCTACGTTCGACGAATGGGAGACGCACATAGACGTACCGGGATCATACGTGTTCCCTAGTCAAGCATCAAACTCGTATGACAAATTTGATACGTTCTCGTTCAGTCTCGACATGCCACCCAACCATGGGGGAAAGAGTCTGGCATTCTGTGTCTGTTACACCGCAAACAATCAGAGTTTCTGGGATAGCAACCATGGAAATAACTACAAAATCGTCACAGACAAGGAAAAGGATTTTGTGCAAAATCGAGAACAACTTTCATTAAAAACCTTGAGTGGGGGTCGATCGTATGGACAGTTTTCATACTGGCAGGTCGCTGGCCAGGAAGAACGACCGTATTGGTGACAGAGGGCTGATAATTATTGCAAGTGTAATTGAATAATAGAATACGCCAAAGTTTATGCCTTTGGAAATATTTAGGGTTATATTTTTCTTTATAATACTGTATTTTCAATGAGTGAGTAGCACTGATATATTATATATTGATTAATATTTATTATGTGTGATGATGGTAATTTGATGACAATTTATTGTAGTATTATTGCAAGTCTTAACATTTTGGATGCAGTCATGTCAAGATTAATACACGTACCGTACAGTCAGGTGTATCTCGCAAATAACAGGATTTGTTAAGGATGGGCTACATTTCACATTTAATCTATCCTGGATTCAGTACATGCATATGCGTACCAAGTATATTAGTTGCTTTGATATGATTATTTGTGCTTTTGGGCAAACACAAGTTGAAAGAATTTTTGTTCATTTTAAATCTGTAGGAGACTGGCACCTTACATTATTTTTCTACTGCATGCAAAATGATGCAATGTCATGCATATTCCTAGGTTTTAGTCAAAAATTACATTTAAACCAGTCGACTGATAAATGACAACTCAAATTATCATGCGTAGTTATCTACATACATATCCAGCTATGATTCTGAAATATCTACACAATATTCTTCAAGTCCAACAAAAGTCCTACTACTTAATGTGCTTTACTTGCTTTTGAGCTGTGATTTGGGGTTTTGTGCAACTGCAGTGCTAGATCATACCAGGTATTCATAGTTGGATACAGATATAATTTCTGACTTCTAAGTTCTATTAACTTACATATGTAGGTTTAAATTAATGTTTGTATTGATAACAATTAATGGAGGTTGGTTGGAACTTGGAAAACCATACAGTATTTCAAATGCGCATACTAATAATAGATTTATATAATATCAAGAGTCTAGACTAATAGGTTACACAAGCTGATCACCTGATAGTGCTGCATACTCGTGCTGCATACTACATCATTACATAATGCTGTAGACTAGTTACAAAAGCCGATCAGCTGATTGCCATAGTGCTGCATACTACCATGTCAAACCATCAATTATGCATGCACCATGAGCACTGTGCATGCTGGGCCTAACGGGGCTTATTGTGGCACTTCTATACATAGAATCTATCGATCTGCTGTGCACATGCTTACAGTGAGTGCTGGTTCACCACAAGGTCAAACCCATGTCTTGCATAATCCCATGTACATCACATGTATAGTTATTTTGTATGTGTGTGTGTTTGTGTGCAGTAATGATATTCACACAGCTCATGAATATGAATAGATACTTATGCATGGACTTACTAGTTGACAACTAGTAAGTCCATGCTTAAAGGGAATGTCTACAGTAATGGGTAATGGGTACTTAGATTTTTTAATTTATTCTCCTTTTTTTGTAAACATCAGCTTTCCTGTGTCAGTTACTTACCCCTCTATACAAGGACCTCCTCACATAATCCCAGTGTGAAACAAATATCTTTTAGCTGTAAAAGCTGTATAACAATAGCAATAATTTAAAATACCTTGAACATATGGAGCCCCTTCAAGTACATGTTCACCGTTGCTCATTTAATACTCTTTTTCTTCATGGAAATATTCAGATTTTTAGCAGGGAAATGTTGAAATATTAGTGTACAACATGTAGTCCCTGTACATGTACATGTGTGTATGTATTACTATTAACATGACTGAATGTGTTGTATTTCTGTCTTGGTCAAGCACAAGTGATATTCAAGTTCCTTGAAATTTATGTGAAAAATACAAGAGCATGCACTAACTATTAGGACATATTTTTTATGATTGGCAATTCACCCTCAATTTATATTCCAATACACACACAAATCATTGCAAATGGAAAGTTCATGAACAGTTTCCTTCACTTTACAAAGCTGTATTACATTGTATGTGGTTACACAAGATAATACAGTCATTTATATACCGGTAGCCAAAGCAAAGTGTTCTTGATGAACAACATCATTTACATAGCGATATTTTATTACTACATTAAGTTTACAATGTGTATGTAGTTACATTGTATGTACACAAACCCTAACTGAAAGCTGTGTCATGAACTAAAAGTGCATCCATAGTACCACAATTGGTGAAATACATGTACAGTCATACAGTGTATATTGTACATGTAGATTACAGAAAGTGAAAGTTATACATGTATAAACTGTTGTAAGTCAAGATAGTGTATTCAGGAAGCTTGTTCTTTTAATCAGAATGATAATGATAATGCAACTCTCTAAGGCCTAACTTGTAGCATGGACTTACTATCCATGCTTGTAGTAACTAAAGTATGGTCAGATTACATCACTGATGTCGTTATCATCCACTTGTGTATCCAGTGCCCCCCCCCCCCCCCCCCCATCCCCTCCATCCTATATCGTACTACATGTATTTACTCTTTTGGACCTGTTAAACTGTTCATGCTTTGTTCTTTTTGTATGTCCTGTAAGGCTGTATGTGAATACATGCTCTTGATACCATGAACGTAATTGTTCTTTTAATCAGTCATACATGAAGGAAACTACTTGGAACACCTGGTATTTGATCTTGCCCCCTTATCATCAACCAAGAAAGAAAAGGAAGGAAAAAAAAAAACAATAAAGCAAAGCAAATGAGTTTCATGAAGGATTGGATGAAATAGGGAGCGATATAATGGAATTGTATATCTTGTCAGTCTGCTACATCCCGATGCAGAAACACATTGTACATGTCTGAAAAGTATGGCCTCTCTATGGTAAAGCCTGGATTGTTATGCATGTCATACTCTGATTGAGAATGTGCAAAGAAATTTTGGAAGAAATGGTGTTTAGTTTACATGCAAGTCTAACTAAGTGTTTAGTCATCCATCAACCATGTTCATTTTTTCTTTCAAATTTGGAGTACAAGGCTGTCGATGAATAGATGTACACTGTTTGTGTGTTTGGTTGCCCCCGTTCCATCTCGGCAGTTAACAAGTGATCGGTACACAAATTGAATGGCTTTGACACATTTATCAATTCCTGTATGCATGATTTGTCTCCATGTTCACAGAAAATGCTATATTTCTATTGCAATATTAAGTAAATTATGTAGTGAAATATAATACACTTTACATGTTTCTTCCAATGGTCAGGGTAATTACTAACAACTTTTGCAATCTTAATATAATTGTGTATAGGGGTGTGTTGGGGTCTCCATTTCTGTGAAATTGCTTCTTTGTAAAAAAAAAAAAAAAAAAGGTTTTACATATCGCATATATCTACACACAGATAGAAATATGGCCTTGTATGCGATAAAAAGTTCATTGTACATGGAAAGTGCTGTGGTTTTTGTGTGAAAACAATCCAGTAGTCTTCTTGTGTGCAACAACTTCCTCATTGACCATTTGTTGTTGAAAAGTATCTATGCTTGTGCTCTGCTGTTCTTTGATTTTGTGTTTCCTTTTAAGCTGGAACATGGGATTTCCCATGAGTTTCTTAAACACTTTCTTTTCATTATACATTTTCTCTACCATTGTTACGTCATTCTATAGTTCTGTGCTAACTCTCCATACGTCCATGTATACGTCAGAAATTTATTGTTGTGTCTATAGCTGTGTTTGATGAGACTGCATAACTTTTACCTTTTGCACAGTTCATTGCCCAATCTCAAAGAATGGTATTTACTCAGTTTAAATGCAAAGATACCAAAGTCCTGTTTCTCCCCATAGAAGGCCTCTTTCATTGTAGACAAATGGACATGTTCAACGGTTACCAAGGTTGACGGTTACCCAATTCAGCTTCTGGGTCTACTGTCGTACAGGTCTGTGTACGTCACAGAATTTAAACCTTGTAGAATTACTAACAGTTTTTTCCAAGTGTAGATTAAGTCTGAACAAGTTTGTACCAGGTCATAATTATGCCACAAGTAATAAATAAGTAGATTTTGTCTCGTACATGTTGTAGGTACTTAAATAGGTTTTCCAATCGTCCAACGTGAATATTGCAACTCATTCTTTTCTGCACAAAGTTTTAATCACAACTTCACTATTTTCGTCCATTATTTTTTAGCCTTTGAACTTGAAGTCGATATATTGTGTGGTATTTGCATGGATTAGACCAAAAAGTACAACGAAATATATGGTGGTGTTGAGAAAAAAGAAATGTACAAACAATTACATGAAATATAATATATATAATTTTAGCGTGACGATGATGTTTTTGTTTTTGGAGACTGCATGCAGGTTTATCCGAGAGAGATAAACAACATATTTAAAAGATGTGAAGTTTAACTTGTAATAATGATCGCAATTGTTGAGTTTCAATTATTTCATGCCTACCGTGTATCAGTATTGGAAAAGAGGTTCAAAATTCATATATTTTGATACACAGAACGATGTTTTGTTGTTGTGGCGGAAACTAAATCATAATTTGTGAGAAGATAGAAATTATGAAATTTATAGATGAAAGAAATTGCAAGGATTGTTTTACTAAGGTACATGATGTACTGAATAAAACAAGAAAACCCTCTTTTAGGGGGCATTCAAAGAAATGTTGTTTTATAATCCATGTATTGATATTATACCGTTGTTGATTTATAATTCACAGCTTCAATTCTGCGTTTGTTTTGTACCTTGTGCATGGGCTCTCGAGGGGGAGGGGGGCATTTAAAATATAGGACATGTCCAATACATTGGTCTCATATAGTCATGTACATTATTGACAATATCATTTTTCGCTTACTAGAGCATAAATGAGACCACATATCAGGGTGATGATATTTTGACTATGATATCAGGCACTTCATATCTCAATTGTATTGACCACTAAATGACCCAGGCACTCAGTTGCCCTTTAAACCATTTTCTGTTTGTTTACTGTGTGGGTGATATGCAACTGGCATTTGACATTTGGATGAGTGCTCCCCTAAAGCTTATTCAAAATTTCAAATTCCAAGTGCATTCTACAGAATATATACAGTATACGCATTTTTAAACTTTGGTAATGCTGTATAATAAAAGTATAGGAATGTCTCATTTCAGGCAAATTTTACAACAAAGAGAGGAAGATACATGTAGTTGCATTGATAAATCTAGTAACCAGGCAAGGGAACAGAATATACATTGAGATGGGGGGGGGGGGGGGTAACATTGTATAAGTTCGGATTTTCGATTTTGTTTGAGTGATGTGTTTTTCCGTGCCTGGAAGGGTGAGAATGTGAAGTTAATGGTTCGAAAATTATGAGGCGCGATCACTAAAAGATAACGATGAAGATGGTGAAGAGGAGAAGAAGGAAGAAGATGAGGAGAAGGAGGGTTGAGGATGATGGAGATGATGTGATAAGGGGCTCAGGGGTAATGGTGATATGTGATGGTGGTGGTGGTGATATCGATGATGATTATGACGGTGGTGATACTGATAATAATGATGACGGTGATCATGCTGATGATGACGGTGGTCGTACTTTAATGCACTTTGATAGTAATAAAAAAGATCGTTTGATGAAAAACAATTACATTAATAATGATTGATGTTTTTCGGTTATTATGGAATACTAGTCAATTTTGCATTCAAAGGGATTTCTGAGCGTGTTGCAATTTAAAAAAACCTCTCCTCGATACGTTCTGTAAAAACGTCTGAATCAGCGAAATGTTTTTTTTTCCATTGAAATTAAATGTTGAGCAGGCGATGCAAGCCTTCAGAAATGTTTGTGTTTTTTTTTATGAAAAGAGAGCACCATTGTACAATACAATCCATTGCTGACGTATAATATTGTAGGCAAGTTACATTGTGATAAGCTTTCTTTCTTTCTCTCTTCTCTCTCTCTCTCTCCTCTCTCTCTCTCTCTCTCTCTCCCCCTCACCCTCCCTCTCTCACCCTCCCTCACTCTCT